CCCGGCCCCGGGTCCCCGGGGCCCCGGCCCCGCTTGGCGTGGCCGTCGAAAGCCAGGTCTGGAACGGCGTGCCCGCATCGTCCCTCCAGACGGACGGCTCTCCACTCGGGCTGCACGTGGGGCCCCCGGCGACTCCGCTCGACTCTGTTTGGGCCCAGGTTTCTGAATGTTTTTCAAAGCTCCTTGCAGCCAAAGGTTGAGAAGGACCGCGCTAGATGACAAGCCAGACTCTCCGCGCTTCTCCAGCTAGGCCTGGCTCTGCCTTCTTTGGAGGCTTCAGCAGTATTTTCTGCCCTGTGGCCTTGAAGTGTAGTAGTTTGAGGTAACTTGGGAATTGAAGCACCGGGAAGGAGTCCTGTGCTCCTAGACAGTCGTGAGCACAGGCCTTTTCCTTCCTCGTAGGCGTGGGCCTTGGGCCCCTGTAGGAGTGAGGTCGTCGTTATTCCGATTTGCTCATTCTGCCTATTGTTCTTTGTAGATTCTCGGGATCTGAAGATGGCTGCACAGTCAGCGCCGAAAGTTGTGCTAAAAAGCACCACCAAGATGTCTCTTAATGAGCGGTGAGGCAGCCAACAGCAACTTCAGCTCGTTCATAAGAAAACATTACTTAAATTGGCCCTGGGGTCCAATGCACAAAAGCCAGTTTTAAACTAAATACCAACAGAAGGCTACAGACCTCTGTTCTTAGTTGCATCTCATGTGGTACACAAAGCAAATTGGGCGGTTGTCTCAAAACCCCTTATCAGTAGATTTTTATGGTAAGCTGTCTGAAATGCTTGTCTGGTGGGGTGCATTTTAAAAAGACTCCTCGCACCCTCCCTTTTCACGTTTTTTAACATTGATACAGGGACGGTGCAGCTCAGTAGCACAGTGCCCTGGCTACGGTAGGCTTGCTGCCCAGTCCAAGGCCAGCAGTGTTGTGTCTGGCCTGTAAGAGGCAGGTAGCAAGCCGTGAATATGTCCAAAGGCCCTCGAATGCCATTCTTGGGCCTTGTAAGAGGCACTTGCTTTTGCTCCGTTTCACTTTCTTTCCATTCTGCTTTTAGTTTGTTTCTGTTTTGGATTCTTTTACAGTTCAGTGTTCTTCTCGTCCATTCAGCTTCTTTGCAGGAATAATAGAAGAGGGTCTTCACAAGCTCTTGAACGCTTGAGCTAATCTAACTTATTCAGAAGTAATCACATAGAGTCCGAAAAGTAATCATTTGAGACTAAGTAAAGGAAAGGCAGTTTCTAGCTACGAGAGCTCTGTTCATCGAGTGCTTTTGACCAGTTATTTTATTGACTCGATATTAGACCACTAAAAGGTTTACGTAATATTTGTTTTTGCCTTTTCTGAAGCATATGTGCTTCTCCTAACTAACCTCTTAGGGTTCGATACTGTAATTCTGCATGTTCACGTGTCATTAAGTGAACAACGTATAAGAAAGTGGAACGCACTCCTAAATTTCGTATGCGTGCATTATTCCCATGGGCTTGGAAGGTGCTCTAGTTGTTGATAGTCTTAAAATGGACCCTCAGATCTCCCGAGGTGTTGGCTTTCTTCGTTTGTCTTCGAAATTGCATCTTCTGTCTCATGTCGCCATATCTGCTCACTGCGTGTTTTTCATGCCTTCCGCCTCTCTAAAAGCCGTTACCTGAGCCCTCGTCATCACTCGTGATTGAATGTGCCGCACTTAGCTGCATTTCTGAGTTTCCGGTTCGTGCACGTGTGTGGAAGCAGCGGAGTCTAGCCCGCATCAGCCTTGCTCTAAGTGTACCACTTTACTTAAAGTTCGTGGGATCTGGAGCTCCTGGTCTAGCGAGCCATGAAAATGCCAATAAATGTTTTGTAATAAAGCTTTTATTTAAACATCCATTTTGTTCGACCTTGAAGCTTTACTAATATGCTGAAGAACAAACAGCCGATGCCAGTGACTATTCGGGCTTCGATGCAGCAACAGCAGCAGCTAGCCAGTGCCAGAAACAGAAGACTGGCCCAGCAGATGGAGAATAGACCCTCTGTCCAGGCAGCATTGAAACTCAAGCAGGTGAGAGAATGCGTCTTCACACGCCAGAAGCAGCTGGCGGTCTCTGTCAGGCAGTCCGCTAGGGCTGTCAGGACGTGATGGATGATGACGAGGTGGCTCAGGGCAAAAGCTGAAACTTCTCTGGAAGAAAGAGAAGTTCAGAGAATTCCCATTTTGGCAGGTACTGATAAGTAACTTTTTGTTGTCTTTCTCTTTTAGGGAGTTTGCCATCAGTGTGGCCTGTTTTCTGTGTTATCAATGAGTATTAATCTCGTGCTTTCTGATCTTTGCCCTTAAAGTAAATTTGCTGGCTTTTACCACAAAGAAATTTTGATTTTTGTTTTAGATGATCTTCAAAAGAGATCTTTTATTCCCTGTTAAATGACTTACAAATTAGGGAAATGATTCTCTTCTTTCTCCCCTAGTCCAGGGAGTCCGAAGGGCCTTATCAGTGGTTTTAAGTGCTAAAATATAGAAAGAGGAAGGCGACCCCATCTCCACGGCATCTCAAGTTGTCGCACTGAGTAATTAACTCAAGAGTTAGTGGGTTTTCCTTCAGATTTCCAGTAAGAGATGATCCTATTCAGACCTGAAGTAAAACCTGCTCTTTGTTATTCATAGACTTTATATGCAAGTCCGGACAGTGGCTGTGGAAGGATATGTCCAAGCTGTGGCTGGGCGTCTGGAGGGCGGTGCCATGCAACTGTAAGGACTGTCACTGGTAGCACTGCATGGCTGTGCATAAGTTCAGCAGTTAAATATAACACCCACCCCCCACCCCGAACCGTTGGGCTCACTGACCAAAAATAAACAAGGCCGCCTGCTTCAGCTCCCTTAAGCCTTGGACTGACGGCATTCGTCCCTGACGCAGAAAAGCGGTAAAAGGCACCACCGTTTTCCAAAAGTAAATATAAAAAAACTGCAACAGATAAGTCTGACAGATTGTTCCGAAGGACCTTTCAACAAGAAGCTGTAATGCAGGCTGTGTGAGAAGCAGCAGCCAGAGCACTGCTGCCCCGCGGGACTCTGCAGCGGTGGGAACGTCCGCGTCTGTGCATCTGTGTGCTCCGGCGCCGTTGCCACTGATGTGATTGAGGAGCCCTTTTTTTTTTTTTTTTTTTGGTCATTTGAATAGCCACATGAGGCTAATGGCCAACCTTAGCGTACAGCTCAGCTTTTCGGTGGAAACTGAGTGGTATAGTGGACGTCGTTAGGCTTCCTATCAGTGTTAGAGACTGATGTCGGTGGCAGGTAAGGATTGGGAAAGGAAAAGAAAGTCTGAGCACTGTACCGTCTCCCATCAAAGCACAGGTCTTGGGAGAATATACTCAGATGACTGAACACTGGTGACATGTAGAATGAGGTCCTAACCTCATGATTGGATGCTCTGGGGAGTGATGTGACAGGCTTTTACTTATGGTCGCTTTACACCTCATGCTAGGTGCATAGTGTTCAGAGCTGCCCCTCTGGAAGCAGTTGATGATCTTGTGCCAGAAAGCTACTAATATCAACATGTGGTTGCAAAAGAAGTTTTTCGTAGTCACTTATGGTTGAGATCCGAGGGTACGTAGAATTGATTTTCATTTGTATTGACTGATGGCTTTTTAGGAAAACAGGTTCGCTAAGGCCTTGATTGTATTCAGAGCTGCAGTCACTTTTTCCTATGAAGGAATTTAATTATTAGGGATGTGGTCTTCATGGGTCCTCTTTGAGGAAACATTTCTTGAAAAGCTTCATTTCTGGTATGTCCTTGTTCTCAAGCGTGGCCCTGAGTTTTGTGACTATAGCTCACTTGTCAATTCTAACACAGGTTTGGCTGGTTCTCTGTGGAGATACATGTGAGTCGTATGCTTATTTTTAATAAGAGGTCATTAGACTGGTCTAACGGTGCTGTTCGCAAGGGTAGACGTGAAATTATGGCTGTTGAAGAAACATAAGGAAAGGAGGTTTGACTCTTGTGTTTATTTACATCTTAAGGTAAAAAGTGGACCATCTGGAGATAGATACTCAAAGGAAAAATGGAACACACTGGCCTCTAGACTGAGAAATCAAATCTTGTTCTTAAGTCACAAGAATCGAAACGAACTTTTCATTTAAATGTGCCCAGAGTCTGGTGAACTCCTTGTGGTGTGTGAGTAAGCCTTTGCAGACAGCGGTGGACCTTGGGTGGGTGGGAATCAAGTCGTACTGTCAGCCTGCGGCTGAAAAACGACCCAGGATTCAAAATCTAGAATGTTCTTACTGAAGCCTTAATTTTGAGTAGCAGTGCGTGACTTCTGTAGCTAAGCTAGCGAGGTGACTTGTAGTGACGCCAGTGGCATGGGACCATCCTCAAGGTTCTTAGAAGCTCTGGATCAGAATGCCGCTTGGGCACCGTGTGGCGAGGCGAAGGCTTGCTTCTGGTGCAGGATCCTCAGAAGCAGCCCGCAGCAGGTGCAGCCGCCTCCGCACAGACATCTCACGTGCTGCTTTTCCTCTGCACTTTGACTTGCCAGTTCCCACCGGATCGCTTTTTTGATCTCAATCCCCAACACCTTTTCTTCCAGAAGAGCTTAAAGCAGCGCCTGGGTAAGAGTAACATCCAGGCACGGTTAGGCCGGCCCATAGGGGCCCTGGCCAGGGGAGCGATCGGAGGACGAGGCCTGCCCATAATCCAGAGAGGCTTGCCCAGAGGAGGACTCCGTGGGGGACGCGCCACGAGAACCCTGCTTAGGGGCGGGATGTCGCTCCGAGGTCAGTGCTGTGTACCCAATAGTGTCAGGTCCCACCCTTTCCTTTTCTCTCGGGCTGCTTATGGACACATTTGTTTAACATCTTTAAGCCTGAATTTGTATTAATATGATTAACGGTTTTTGAAATCACATACTTTAATAGTGCTGCATGTGTTGTATCGATACCGTTCCTTTTCTGGTAATGTGCAGTGGGGAGAGGCCATGACCTGCGTAACAACAGGTAATTCATGTCGTCTCCATTCCATTCGAAAGCACCCTGCCGCTGCTCGGATCAAAGCACGTCTGCGTTCTAGAAACACGTCAGACCCAAGAAACGTATAGGCCGTTGGCCTGTATCTTAACCAAGCATCTCTTTTCCTGGTGCCAGTGAAACATTGTTGCATCCATTAAAAAAGACAAGGTGACCCATAGCACTTAGCCATGTGTGACATTTGGGGCACTGTTACACTGTTCCCTGTGTAGTTCTGGGCCCCTACGAGAATACTGAGCGCAGGAACTGTATCATTTACTTTTAAATCTGTCATAACATTTGGCAACTATCTGGTTATTCAACAGATACTTTATTAAACGTATGCACATACTAATTACCTTAACTCCCAGCTTCTTCCAAAAATGGGTTTTTGGTCAGACTTGTTGAATTGATTCAATAAAGAGCATCGTAATCTATTCACACTCAGTGTGCAGCTTGCCCCACACAAACTAAAAATTACCTGAATTAACGCTCATTTAACCCTCACCGCCTTCCTTTGGTTAGAATCTACTTTGTCTCTCTTGGATTTACCTGCATATACATTGTGTGCCTCCTCTCCAAGGTCAAAACCTGCTTCGAGGTGGACGAGCCGTAGCTCCCCGAATGGGCTTAAGAAGAGGTGGTGTTCGAGGTCGTGGAGGTCCTGGGAGAGGGGGCCTAGGGCGTGGAGCTATGGGTCGTGGCGGAATCGGTGGTAGAGGTTAGTCAGCTACCAACTTCAGAGACTAGCTTCCCCTTATTTCTTTCCCTTCAAAACTCAGAGCCACCTTTCTGCACAGCTTCAAGTCATAGGCAGGCTTATTTGTTTGTCTTGTTTTGTTTTTCGAAACTGGCTTAATTTCTGAATTCACATGCTGGCAGTACAAAAGTCTGTCGCGGGTTTTCCAAAACTAGTCAGACACGTGTATTAGAGCCAGGTTTTATGCAGTCTTCTTCCAGACTCTTGTGGGTTTAAATCGCATTGTTCAAATGACAAAGTGGTCAGTTTGCAGTTGGACCTTTCCCTGTCCCTGCCCCCACCATCACCACACACCCCACCCCACCACGCAAAACCCTACTTTGAGTCTAAGAATCAAGACGAGGGAGATGTACAAAAACGAAGCAGAGTTCGAGAGAGTGGTGAGACACAGAGCTGAGTCTGGACTCTGAAACCAAGTAAATGCAAGGTAAATTGTGTGTCTGGGAAGCCAGAGATGACTCTTTTTGATCAAGGGAGAAAGCAAGATGGTATTGCACGAGTTAATCTTCCCTCGGAGACTTGATGCTATTTGTCTTGTGACCTCATGACCCAGATTGGAAGAGGTTAATGGTGTTGCTGATGTTAAAATGCCAAAGCCCATGGGTGTTTTCTGGCTTAAGAGTTTAGTGGAAAGCTCCCAGCAACACCTGTCAAAGGAAAAAAATTTTGTTCTCTCAGCCCCTGTGAATATTTGCTTTGTCCTTTTACAGTGTGTGGTGGGTGTTCCATCATTTATGACCTTGAAGTTACCAAGGGCTAATAACCTAGGAAACTCGATAACCTAGGGCTTTTCTTCTCCCATTATATGTTGCTTGGCTTATTGAGTGAAGTGCAAGCTAGTTTGGGTTTCAGGATGAAATAGCATGTTTCTAGATTATCTCGACTTGGTTTCTGAGAGACAGCGCAGGGGTGGGGGAGTCTCAAGTCGCTTTTCCAAAAGCTGGGTGTTTTGTTAAGTGAATTGAAACCATCTCTCAGATAACCATAACTGTTATAAAGTAAGTCGAATCCTTGATAGAAGTGGCTGGGACGACTCAGGATGTTCTGCCCCTTCTCCCCGCATTGCTCCTGTGTCACAATAACTCCTCCGTCTCCTGACGTGAGGGTCAGCTCCTTAGGTCTCCTGAGTTTGAGGAGAGAGGAGCTGATTTTCCAGAAGGCTCTCCCGTAGAGCTTCATCGGAAAACTGGTTCCACACCCTACAGCTGGGCCCTTTTTCCTCCCTCCCTGTCTCACTCCACGGGGTTGTCTCAGTAATGTAGTAATCGTGAACTTAGAGTGGGTCTCAGACTTTAGATAATTTGTTTTAGGAAAGATTAAGATTTTTTTGTCTGTTTCCCTGTGTCGCTAGAATGAAGAATTTTAAGTAGCGTTTAGAAAGGAGCGTATAAGGGATTCATTGTGTGTGCTTTCCATGTGTTGCTTGCTCCCCATCGTGTTTCCTGTTTTTCCAGATTTCTCCTCTTTGCCCCGCCCTTCAGCCTCTCTGAGCTAGGCCCCGCTGCTCTCAGGGGCATTTACCGTAGCACCCATGAACCCTACTCGTAACTGTCTTCTTGTTCTCCTTTGGGCCAGGTCGGGGCATGATAGGTCGGGGCAGAGGGGGCTTTGGAGGCCGAGGCCGAGGCCGTGGACGAGGGAGAGGTGCCCTTGCTCGCCCTGTACTGACCAAGGAACAGCTGGACAACCAGTTGGATGCGTACATGTCGAAAACGAAAGGACACCTGGATGCCGAGCTGGACGCCTACATGGCACAGACAGACCCCGAGACCAACGACTGAGGCCTGGCTGCCCTCCTGCGAGAGAGACTCTTGCTAAAGTTACCACCTCTGTAAATAACCTTGAGATAACAGATGAGAAGAAACCTGATCGATGCCGGAAGGACCTGTCACAATAGGCTGTGGACTTAACTTGCCACCAGTTTGTGCATTTAGTGTGTTCCTTTTACTTTTTTGATACTGTGTTGTATGAAACCCTTTTATCCTGACTTGGGTTTGGTTTTGTTGTTTGGGTTTTTTCCCCCGCCCCCCTTCTCCCAGACTTTTTATTTTAAACATGACTATGTCAGCCTCGAGGCTAAGACACCCTCTTTCCACCTCTGCCTCCCATCACCTGTCACGTGCTCTGACATTCTGACTTTTCTGAAAAGTCCCAGAAAGAGCCCATCAGTGGTCCTCCCTAGTGCCTAGGTTTCTGAGAAACGGTTCTGTCCCACATCACTTTAGAAAGCCTCTTAGAAGTGTTTAGAAAATCTAAAGTTCAAAAGTGCGTTCTACCACGTTGACATTTTAATAAGCTAGGAACGTTGGCCTGGTGACAGGACCACCTAAGCGGTTACGTGAGGTAACCGCTGCTGCCGTGTGCATCCACACCCGTGTGTCGTGTCCGGTACGTGCACACTTCCCACCCTGGAGGCAGGTGACCGACTTCCCTCTGGACTTTGCGTCACGTCCAAAGAGTGCTGTTGGGTCGGCTTCCGCCCGCGAGAGGGGAAAGCCACGCGGGTCGGCAGGTGGCTTGGGAGGACGGGGCTGGAAGTCGAGGCAGGTACCTGCCGGGAGGGGTCGGAAGAGACCCATGCCGAGTGCTCTTGGCCTTATGTTTGCCCCTGGCCCGTCTCGGCTTTCTCCATACATTGGTTTTGTGTGACCCTCTTCTTTCTCTCGAAGGTTTAAGTTCAACCATATTCCGTCGGCTGTTCCAGTTTCAATGGAATTCTTGTATTTCTGCTTTATTACAAGAAATTGTTCTCTCAAATCCAGCCAGGACTTTTCTCTTTATTTGTTGGGTTCTTGAAATGGTACGTCTGCTACATCTTGATGTGCCCCTTGCAGAGATGGGGCCTTTCCTTCGTGGTGGTATTCAACGGCGTTGGGGGGGAGTATTGTGGCTTTGAGGCAGAAGGCGAAGAATGTCCACATTAGAAAGGTTACTTACTAAAAGCAAAGTGCCAGCCCATTTGGCCCATACGGGAGCCCAGATACGACATGGGGGACAGTGCCCTGGCCCCGGCTCCTTTTTACCTGGAGGGACCTGACCACCTCTGACCAAACCAGTTAACACTGAGCTGCCTGTGCCCTAAACGGGAGGTTGTGTGGACAGCAGGCTGGGAAGGCAATTTCGTCAGGACGTGAGCTCGAGTCTTTTTTTGTATGACCTGGGCTGCATGACCTCTGGACCGCAGCATGTGGTCTAGGCCTGCGGAAGTGAGCGCTGGGAAGGACCACGTGGGTAGGGAGCCACAGTGACCTGGGCTGCAGGTGTGTCCTGCGATTCCTTCCGCTCTCCCTGAGCACGGGCGCGAGGCTGGGGCGCAGCAGCCCGGGCAGCTGCTCACAACCTTTACTTGGAAGGAACTTGGGGTTTTCTGTGGGCTCGGCCAAGGCTCGTGCTGATGGGCAGTGTAGGCCACCCCGGGCGAGCTGGTTCCCGGGTGGCCTTGCACGGGGCGCCTCCGAGGGCCCCCAGGAAACCCTGGGGAGGGACAGGGAGCTAGCTGCAGGGAGATCGGCTTCCCCACCCTCTCAAGGCACACAGCCTGGGGCCACCGTCCCTGGGATGACCCCCAGGCCTCTCTGCCTTCCCAGATACTTTGCTCCTCCCCCAAGACAGCTACCAAGGCTGTTCCCCCCAAACGTGACTTCCCTTGTCACCTAGCAGTTTGCCTCGATATTTTATCTGGTGGCTTCAGGCCCGCCCCTTCCCCCGTAGTACATCAGATCAGCAGAGGCTCAAGCACGTGAGAAGACGGGGCTCAGCGGGTCTAGAGGAGTCGGGGCCCGTGCCAGCTCCGTGCAGTTCACACGCCTGTGCCCACGCACGTATCTGGAGATGACCTCACACAAAGGTTCCAGGGTAAGAAGGGGGGCTGGAAACAGGGAAAGGGGCCCGAGGCGGCAGTGAGTGCCCGACACATGCTTCTCTGCCTCCCCGACTCGTCTGCCGGTGGGATGCCCGGGGCGCCTCAGCCCCTAGGCAGGGGGTGGGCCAGGGTGCCTGGGTCCTTTGAGAACGGGGGGACTCCCAAGGTGCTGGGTGCACCCTAGCTTTTCTCTCTCCCAGGTCAGCCTTTTCCAGCCCAGGGGTCCCCTGCCCAGAGTGCCTCCAGTCCCACCCTGTCCTGCTGACTCGGTGCTCTTAGTGCCACGGTGGCCGTCCGAAAGGACTGGCCCCGTGCCCTCTACACCCGCCTCGAACTGGCCAAGTGTCAGAGC